GTATTTTCTTTTATTTCGCAAAAGGTGAAAATAATGAATGAACAAAAAAAAATTGTAAAGCAGAATATATTTAATCTTTTTTTTTTAATTTTATTTATTATTATTAATTTTGTTAAGTTATATATCAATACTAAAGCGACATCTTTTTTTAAATAGTATCAAGAAAACTATTTATAAGCTGAGTCATTTGAGAGTTTAACGTGACAAATTTTAATATCGGAAATATAAGTTCTAATAACTTCTCTTTTCAAATTATATGCGATCTGCAATGTTACATACATGTACACGTGCTAAACAATAGTCAGTGCGAGTTCCGATTAACAGTTTTCAGCATTCCTATGAGGAAAAAAATATATCTATATACTGTTCATGTTTTTTTTTTTTTTTTTTTTTTTTTTTTTAACCAAATTTAGAACAATATAATTCATTTAAATAATTTCACTTTACTGTATTAACAGCTGATTAATGTGCAAGCATTTCCCTGAAATTTTCGAATGACCGGAAAGCTGTAATATTCGATGGTGAGCGTTTGCAGTGAGTGGGCGCGTGAACGTTATAAAAGATATCAATAAAATATAACAATTTTTTTCCCCTCGATATTTACTTCTTTTGTAAACAGTGGTTTGTTTTTAATTTAAACATTTCTCCAATTACAGAAGATGGAATGTGCATGGTGATGAACTTCATAAAACAATTAAAACGGGGGGGGGGGGGGGAGATATATCACTAAAACTTATTATTCTCAATAATACTCAAAAAAAAAAAAAAAAATCAATGCCAAGCTTACTTGAATATATTCTGTTTCTTTGTGTATTAAGTATTAGTCGCGATCATTTTCTGTGTATAGGGATTAGCAGAGCAAGAGCAGGAAACGGCATGCCCTAGGGGTTTCACACCTGTCCTAGAGTACCTGTGGTAAATTTCTCTGCATGTGCAAGGCGTTGTCTAGCCATACAACACACCAGTCCCTTCAACGTTTCATTATTTCTTCATTTTCAAATGTAACTACAACCATGAAAGATACGCGAGTCAATATATACTTTTTTTTTTACCCTGAGTGTATATTAAAAGGAAAAAGATCAATCATACTTTTAAAACAAATTAATAGAGTTTAAATGAAATAAAAAAGATCAAATTAAATTATGTTTTATTACTTTTTTTAAAATGCCGACGGGCTTGGTATTTATGTTTCTGTTTAACATATATGTACATAAGTAGAATGTAAAAAAAAAAAAAAAAAAAAAAAAAAAAAAAAAACGTACAGAATGTTACGGCACGTGCAACGTTTTTCCTTCGGTCAGTTTATTGATTTATCGAGTCCATCGATTAAAACAAAATATTCATGATAGAATTTCAATGAAATGAATTGCTTCTGGATTATTTTTTTTCCAGTTTCAATATGTCGTTTCTGTGAACAGATAATATACTGTAGCCGATTTATCAGTTTATTGTCCAGTTGTGGACTTTGACTAATTCTACGATCAAGTTTCTGAAAAACACCGAAATAGTGACAGCCACAGACACTGTTTAAGGTCTTCCGTTTAAATAGCACGATTAAAGACAAAAATATCTACCGAAACAAGATATAATAGCATATTTTGGTGACATGTGGTAGGTACATGTATATGATATTTTAGGCCCGATATCCAAGAGGGGTCCAGTGTTAACAAATGGAAGTGACTTACCTTCTCTATTTCATAATACCGCGGGTATGATTTTTTAATAAAACGTTAATTCCACGTTATTTTTATGGATTTTCCATATGGAATACATTGTAAATGTGTACTAGAAGATTAATTTATGGAAAAAGACGAATAAAAATATTCTTGGACTCCGGGGTGTATATTGGGGGGGGGGGGGGAGGGGGGTCCTGTCCACAAGCACCTGTACAGCATTCAAGCTTAAAAGACCATTCAAACAATACAAATCAGGAACAGTGCAAATCTTTTGAAATCAGAGGTAGAATCAAGTGCCATGGATCTGTCATGTTGTAAATTTTGAACTTACCGGTTGTCAGTATTTACTGCCGCCTGGTAAATTCAAAATTTATAGCATGAGAGATCCTTTTCATGCTAGCACTTACCCCGACACGAGACCTTATACGGTCTCATCCAAAGGACCGATCTCCACGTTTTACTACTTATCCAAACTGGACATAAAACATTCTCATTGAATTTTTTAATCATTATGTTGAACCTAACAAATTATTCCGACTCGCTGTATGATCTGAAAAAACATGGCTGAACTTATCCATTCAGAAACTCACAGACTGGGATTGCTTTTAACCAGTGTGTATTATGGCCTTGATGCAAGGTCATTTGGTCGAGTCAAGGCCACTGACAGAGAAACTGTAATTTCGCTACCGTATTTGTACTAGTGAAACATTGCTGGTATCATGCAGAGTGTGACATGGCCTTGACGCAAGTTCAAGGTCACTAAGGATTAGATGTTTTGACTGTATGTATGGACTAAAAGAACATGACATGTCACTGTGAACTTTTCAAGTCGTAACACACACATTGGGTTTTATGACGAGACTTTGTCATCGTTTGACGCAAGGCATTTGGAATGTTCAAGGTCACGTACATTCCTTTACAGTTTTTCCTAGCGAAATATTGTAAGTTGCTTCCCCTTACAAGATTGCTTACATGTATAACTTTAGAATGTGGCATGACCTTGACTCAAGGTCACTTCTTCCTTCCGCAGCTCCAACGGAAGACCTATTCGTTGCTTTGCAACGAGCTCGCTCTAGTTTACAATTATTATCAGTTTTTATAAATAAAATTAAAACACAATTAATGTGAATGTTTTTTATTTTTAAATATATGTATTGATTTACCTCGAATATCGGCAGTCAAAAGCAAGTATTGTACTAAGCATCCAATTAGCCTACCATTTCAATGCACGGAGAATTTTATTTTGGCGAGTCTGGAATCTCTTTTTTAAAAATCATTTTGAATGTATTAAAATGTTTCAAAGATTGGGAAATACCGTTATAAGTACCGGTATTAAATGAAACGGTATTTTACCGGTATTTTTGAAGTAACTATTCGGTACAGTATTGGTACCGAGTACCGGTATCCAACCCTATTCAAAACCCTTCATAGCCTATCCCCAGTCTACATGAGAGACATCATGACTGTTTAAAAAAGAAACTTAAACTTAAACTTCCATCATTAGATATCACTGATAACACATTTAGCAGCTACTTGAAGAATTTCTACATAAAAAAAATGTTAATTTGCAACTTCAGAACATTGAATTCACCAAATGTGGTAAATTATTATTTTTCAGTCAAATTAGAAAGAACTATCAATTACAAGACTACTTGAAATTTCCAATTAATAAATCTGCACGTTCTAAATTAACAAAACTGAGAATTTCTGCACACTCTTTAGAAATTGAAATAGGCAGATATTCAAAGCCTTGTATCCCAAAAGAATCTCGTTTTTGTCACTATTGTAAAAATGTTGTAGAAAATGAAATACATTTCATATATGACTGTCCTATATATAAAGATTTGCGAAAAAAGTATTACCCTTTGAACATCTATAATTTAAATGATAACATGTTGAAGGAAAATCATTGTAAAGTACTTTGTAATCCTGACAATGCAGTTCATTCTAGAAGACTATGCGAATTTTTACATGAATGTTTTGAATTGCATTCTAAAAATAGAGCACAATAATATATATTTAATGCATTAATTAGTTTATCTCTGTCCATATTATACTGTTTATACTATTTGCATAATGATTATGTATAACTTCAAGTTGTAAACGTAGTTGACTTCACTGATTTGTACACTTGCATATATGTATGTACTTTAGTATATGTTTTAGTAATCTGAAAACACACTGTATTTTTCATTTCGTTTGTAACATGGTTGTATGCCAACATGTTTGGTGAATCAATAAATTGAATTGAATTGAATTGAATTGTTTATGACCCACCACGATCACTACGTTCAAAATCCTCGCATTTTCTCCAGGTACCTCGGACACGCACGAAAACATACGGAGACCGTCGTTTAGACAAGGCCGCATGGAGTCTCTGGAACTCTCTGACTTTTAAACTTAGAGAATGTGTTTCACTGCCCAGTTTTAAAAAGGCAGGGTTCGAAATTCACTATATACAACTCGCAAAACGCGAGTTAGAATTCCCAAATTGCGAGTTAAAAATTAGGTAACTCGCAAAAACTTGCGAGTTGAGTTTTTTTTGCATTGAAACTGTAGCAAAATTATATAATATGACAGAACACAATACTTTTGATTTAAATCAGTAATTTAAATAAAAGTTACACTGTAGTTGTATTTTGTGTATTGTACAGTAGTTACTTTTTCCTTAAGTTACATGTATTTAATTTATATAAATTTAACTTTATATGAAAATTGCGAGTAGTCTTATAAAATTGCGAGTTCACTTTGTTGGTACTCGCAATTATTTGCGAGTTGTAATTTTAGGGAGTTTCTAACCCTGAAAAAGGATCATAAAACCCACCTATTTTTAAACTAGCTTTTAATTTGTGATTTCTTAATATAAATATGGCTTTATATTTAGATAGAGACATTATGATTAATTTTATTCACATGTCTTTTTTATGTATTTTAAACATTGTCTCTTTTTATATATTTTAATTGTAAAGCGCATTAGAGGACTCAAATTGATAGAGCGCTATATAAATTTTTATATTACAATTACAATTGAGTTTGATTACACTGTTTTACAGTAAAGGATGTGTTATTAACATGCAGATAACATTTACACCATGTTAAATTTCACAACTTAGTGAACTTACATCATCAAATTAAACTCTATATGTAACATTAGGATATTTTTTGTATGCTCTTCATCAATGTATCTCAAATAACTTTGAAGTGAAATACGACAATACAACTTCATTTGAATTGTAACAAATAAGGTTTGATAAATAGTTCCAAAATGCTGTTTTTTACGACTGATGTAATCCAAACATAGGGTAAACAAATGGACTATGTTACCTGCTGAGAACGCAATTGACTGGCTTTGGGTTGCTTTTTCCTAATATAAGTGACTTCATCCCACTCTGCCGTTGCCATTTTTACCAAATATATACTAAAATTACAAAAAACTAAAGCGTTTTTATATTAAGTTTGTTGCACAGTTACATGCAATGGCGTGTCCTTACTTTAGTGTTTACCAAATTAAGAAATGATGTCGTGAAATGTGACCTGGGTTTAGTAGATCTAAGATATTCTAGAAAGAAAATAGTGATAAAACAGTTGATAAAATAGATTTTAAGAATTGATTGAGAATTTCATAATTTCAAAACAAAAATTGACAAGGTCATTTTATTGTTTTACGACAACCAACAATATGGCGATTTCCAGTACCCCAAACTGACTTGACTCAGCACAGAAAATTTCCGTCTGTTTCACTTTGTGTCGGTGTATTGGAAATACTCAGTGTAGAGTAGGTATGGTAATTTTTTTGGTTTATTTTCAATAACAATGACGATTTCATTGTTTTGATAATTTCGATATCTACTGCCCGCACTGGTCAGGTCTGGTACAGTCAGCAGGTCCAGCACTATCTCTTGATTTAGCAATATATAGCTTGAAAAAACTATATAGCTTTTTTAAGCTATTCAAAATAGCTTGATAAAGGTATTTATTTGCAGTTTTTCACAATAATGTTTTTCATAAGAATTAGAAATAGACAAAAAGTTGCACATATATGTATTATGGGCAATCAGAACAACAGCCGAGATCAAATATAGTTTGAACATTGTAGCTTTTGAATTAATGCAACTGAAAACTGGTTCTCTGTTGGAATATTTCTGAAATTGTTGAAGTAAAATACGGATGCTTTTTGCTTTCATTCTATAAGGACTTCGAGACAGTGCAACTTTACATGATAACTTGAAGATAACATTAAAAAAAGTACATTGTAAATAATACTATACCTCGATGAATGAGAATGAGAGCTCATTTGATAACAAATGTGCTTTCACCAATCTTCAACCATTCATTGTTATAATCTAAAATGAGTTTATAAACTATGTTATATTTCAATCTTTTAATAAATCATCAACAAAACAAATAAATTGAATCTCAAACAAATTAATTTAACTTGATACAGCTGACCGCTTCACCCAGTTGCCACTTGCTAGGACCAATTTTTGCTTGGTCGCACTAAACGACGAAACATTAAAAATGGATAGATATGCACATCACATTTTTTTGCGACATTTTGCTTTTTTTTATTTACAATTATTATCAGTTTTTATAAATAAAATTAAAACACAATTAATGTGAATGTTTTTTATTTTTAAATATACGTATTGATTTACCTCGAATATCGGCAGTCAAAAGCAAGTATTGTACTAAGCATCCAATTAGCCTACCATTTCAATGCACGGAGAATTTTATTTTGGCGAGTCTGGAATCTCTTTTTTAAAAATCATTTTGAATGTATTAAAATGTTTCAAAGATTGGGAAATACCGTTATAAGTACCGGTATTAAATGAAACGGTATTTTACCAGTATTTTTGAAGTAACTATTTGGTACGGTATTGGTACCGAGTACCGGTGTCCAACCCTATTCAAAACCCTTCATAGCCTATCCCCAGTCTACATGAGAGACATCATGACTGTTTAAAAAAGAAACTTAAACTTAAACTTCCATCATTAGATATCACTGATAACACATTTAGCAGCTACTTGAAGAATTTCTACATAAAAAAAATGTTAATTTGCAACTTCAGAACATTGAATTCACCAAATGTGGTAAATTATTATTTTTCAGTCAAATTAGAAAGAACTATCAATTACAAGACTACTTGAAATTTCCAATTAATAAATCTGTACGTTCTAAATTAACAAAACTGAGAATTTCTGCACACTCTTAAGAAATTGAAATAGGCAGATATTCAAAGCCTTGTATCCCAAAAGAATCTCGTTTTTGTCACTATTGTAAAAATGTTGTAGAAAATGAAATACATTTCATATATGACTGTCCTATATATAAAGATTTGCGAAAAAAGTATTACCCTTTGAACATCTATAATTTAAATGATAACATGTTGAAGGAAAATCATTGTAAAGTACTTTGTAATCCTGACAATGCAAAAAGCTGGTCTTACGCAGTCTAATGTAACTATTTGCAGTTGTAGTGTTTTCTAAGTGATTAAGGTAATTTAATTATCTTGAATCTTACTAGGGTACTGAAGATCCTTCTGACTTGTATACCTGAGTTTTCATATGAACATTTGCAGGCCAGTGTCAGATTGCATGCAGGTCCAGCACAATCTTGATTAAGGTATATATATCTTGAATTAGCTATGTAACAGGAAAGGAGAAAAAGTATGTCTGGACCAGGAATAACCCAGGACCCCTGCATCAGTAGTTAGGTACTCTAACTACTGAGCTGCCCAGGCAATATCCACGGCCCAAAACCATCACATTCCCCCCTCCTTAAATTGTCTTTGCCCTCAAAGACACAACCCATGTTCTTATTTGCTCTTGGCAGGGCTTTCACCTACAGCCCAGGGGTGGTCAACAACACTAAATTAAGTAACAGGAAAGGAGAAAATGTATGGCTGGGCCAGAATCGAACCTGGGACCCTGCATCACTAGTCAGGTGCTCTTCCAACTGAGCTACCCAGGTAGTCTGAAATATCTGATGCTTTCCAAGCATTTTCACGATTTTGATATTTAATATGCCAGGAAAACGTCATAATGAAAAGTGGGAATTCTCTGCCTCAAAGCAGTTGCGGCATTCTCAGGTCCATTTTCGATACATGCAAACTGAATTATATGTCTAACTCACATCTTCGCAATAGTAGAATACTTCTAGTACTTACCAATATCCCTTTTTATTGTTCCTTTGTAATAGAAAGTGTCTGGTGAAAACATTTTATCAAACTGTCGAGGTTTGTTTGGATTTCCTGCATTTTGAAATCTTGTGAGACCTGTATTGAAATGTGGAGTGATATTTTCTTTTAAGTGAAATTAATGAGAACTAGAACCATTGTGCTTTTGATAAGTTTGACATTTAATTCTATTTACAAGTACTGAAAATTGAGTTCAGTTGGGGATGGCGATATTTCAACTATTCATAATGCCTTCGGTTCTGAGATTTTCCTGGCATGTCAAATATCAAAATCATGAAAAACGCCTGGAAAACATCAGATATTTCAGACTACTACTGTGGTCGATATGCACAGCCCAATCCATTCCAGCATTCCACAGTTACTTCTTGTAATGAAAGAAATTATAAAGGAGGTCAATTCTGGTCAACAAGATAATTGATTAGTAATACTTCAGCTATATAGCTTTATAAAGCTATTCAAAACTATATACATCCTTGAGTGAGGTGATGCACAGCTAGGTATGATTAACATTGTGCAAAAGTATCACTGACAGGTGTGGAAAAATATAACAGAATAGATTAATGAATGTGTTACACATGTGGCCTCTTATTTCTGTTCTTTAATAATATATAAATGAATTATTTTATTCATATGTCTTAGATGTCATGGGAATGATACCATGATATTGTAGTGTCTATATGTTAACTTATATTTATCATTTACTATACTTTTATAATACAATCCCGAATTTCCTCGATGAAACGAACCCGTGTACAATCATCCGTACTATAAACGGAGAAGATCCTGAAACAGACTCACCTTAATGTTACCAAGGCATCATTCTTTGACTTTATTTCAACATATGATGTATGCACAACCTTATAATTACTCCTAATCACTACTTTTTGTTCGAGCATAAACTTTGTGTACTGCAACTCAAACATGGCGCCAATCCGTGCGGTACCGTACGTTTTGCGCGTGGTATAATTCGCACTTACCAACTGAAAGGTATAAAACAGACGAACAAACGGCCAAACGGCAGTAGTGTTTAGCTGCTCACCTGGTATGGAGCCACAAGAGCCCATCAGAATGGTAATCATCCCATTATTACATTTTGTGCTACCCATTTAAGGTTGGGTAAGTCTGATGCCATTTCATACCCAGTACTTTTGGGTCCTCATCAGTTTCATTGGGTAAAGTTTCATTGGGTAAAATACCCATAACAAAGTTCTTAGGTATTATTGAGTTTATATTTGCCCATATTATAATAAATTTATGATTGTTTAATTATTTTAATTTTATTCTAATAAATTTATAGAAAACTTGCAATCCTTCTTTATTGGGTAAATTTCAGAAATAAGAGACCCACAAACAATATTTGTAACGTAACCCATCAAGCGGGTAAAAGAATATTCAAAAACAACAGCTATACCCGAAAACGTTACAACTGGTGTCAGAAGTGGGATTTCCATTTTCTTATTTCTGTTTACCAAATTTTTTCCATTATAAAAACAAAAGGATTTTTATATTTTTATACATTTTTATTGACCCAATATATTTTTGTACCCAATAATCACTATGGAAACTGAAGAAAGTTTTGAAGTAACTTTTAAATCTCGATCATCTTCACCCAACAACTTGGAGGATGATAGGGTTGCTACACCCATTCCCAATCCTCAATCCTCATCAAAGGCATCAGATATTGCCCAACCTGTGAATGAAAATCAATTAGATGTTATCATGTCTATTATGCAAAATGTAAACCAACAATTGTTGGGAATGACAAATGAGTACCAAAAATTGAGACAGCATGTTGATGATTTGGAAAAAGAAATTAAGAGTCCTACTCAAGATAGGGGAGACAATCATCACTTTCCAAATTTTATACCCAGACCCATTCACCCAGTCAATTCTTATGATGATTTCCATCCCCGCATTCATTCAGACTCAGTGTATGGACAAAGGGAATATAACCCAAGCACAATGTCGGGTACCCATTATTCCCACTTACCTGAAATAAACAGGAATGAAAACAGAATGCCATCCCCATTTATACCCAAAACCCATGTAACAATAAAACCCCAAACATTTGATGGCTCCGAGGACTTTGACGAGTACCTCGCCCAATTTGAAATTTTAGTTGACTTACATGGGTGGGATTATAAAACAAAATCTCTGTACCTTGCCAGTAGCCTTACGGGTGGAGCCCGGGCCCTACTGAGTGAATTAAATGAAAATCAGAGGCGAGATTTTAACTCCCTTGTAAAAATCCTAAACAGAAGGTATGGTTCTATTGAGAGATCGGAAATGTTCCGTGCACAACTCAAAACCAAAACTAGGGGTCCAAATGAGTCCTTACCCGAACTGGCCCAATCTATTAAGAAACTAACCCGCCAGGCCTACCCAACAGCTGACCCAACCATCATAAGCATTCTGGCACTTGATCAATTTATTGATGCCCTACCGGACCCAGAAATGCGATTGAGGTTAAGGGAAGCCAAACCCAAAGATTTAAATGAAGCAGAGATACTGGCCATTAGATTAGAAACCTATAGATTGGCAGATGCCCAAAGAAATAAAACTGTCAATACTATTAATGAAAC